ATTGATTGCGGTGTTTAGTTCAGTTCTAGGCCACCAAACTATTGCACCGTAGGTGATGAGTGGTCTGATTATGGTTGTGTAAAGCCATTTTGTGATTTTTGGTGCAAGACCCCAGGTTTTACCAAGTAATCTTTTGCATTGCCAAAACGTGATACAGGCTTTGTTTATCTTTTGGTCTAAGTGGTTGTTCCATGTTAGCTTATGATCAAGAACTATGCCTAGATATTTGACCTCGCTTGACATAGACAGTTCGGTTTTAAATAACTTGGGCAATTTAACGGTATCCAAGTTACGTTTTTTCGTGAACATGACCATCTCTGTTTTGGTCGGGTTCACCGATAGTTGGTGTTTAGTACACCATGTTTCAACTATTTTGAGAGCGTTACTCATTAAGTTGCACAGCACATTCTGGAATGGCCCGCTTATGAGGATAACTAGGTCGTCCGCATAGCCGACTGTGTAGTAGTTGCGTTGATTGAGTTGGCAAATTAATTCGTCAACCACAATGTTCCACAGGAGAGGGGATAAAACGCCTCCCTGTGGGCAACCCCGTGCCACTACAGCTCTCTTCGTAGTGTTCACAGTCACTTGTATTGCTCTGTATTTTAGCATGTTGTTGATCCACCCCGCAGTCGTGGGGTCAACTCCATGTCTGACAAGTGCTTGGCTGATGCTGGTAAAGTTTGTTTTATCAAAGGCGCCTTCGATGTCAATGAAGACCCCGAGCGTTGATTGTTTTGGTGATAATCCACGTTCTATTTGTCTGACTACGTTGTGTAATGCGGATTCGGTGGACTTGCCCATGCTGTAGGCGTGTTGGTTTGCATGAAGTGGTACACGCTTTAGAGCATCATCTCTCAAGTTCCTGTCACACATTCTCTCCAGCACCTTTAGGAGGAATGATGTGAGACTTATCGGTCTGAATGCTTTAGGTTGCGTGTAGTCACTTTTGCCTGGTTTGGGTATGAATATAACTTTAACCTCTCTCCACTTGGTGGGTATGTATCGATAGGCAAGACATCCTGTGTATATTCGCAGTAGATGCTCGAGTATCGATTCCTCGCACCATTGCAGTAGGCCCGGAAAGATGCCATCCAGACCAGCTGCTTTAAAAGGGAGGAAGCTTTTGATGGCCCAAGTTAATGTGTTGATTTTAATGATTTTGCGTGCAGTTGTCCAGTCAGCTAAATCCGGAACCGCGGATATCTCATCTTCCCAGTCTTGGTCGTCTCTAGTATTACAGCCTGGGAAGTGAGTATGCATCAGCAGCTCACAGGTTTCAGCGTCGGTTTTTGTGAAAGTATTATCAGCCTTTTTGAGGTAACCCAAATTGCGCTCGGGATCGCTACTTAGTATTTTCCTCACTCTTGCGGCATGATTGTTGTCTTGGATATCGCTACAGAAACGCTTCCAGCATTCAGCCTTTCTGAAGCGGATGCATTTTTTGTAGCGTGACTGTGCCTCCTTGTAGAGGATCCAGTCGTGTTCGAGTCTGGTGTTTTTTGCTCTGTTGAACATCTTTCTTGCCCTACGTCGCAACTTATCCAGTTCAGGACCCCACCAATTGTGTTTGCCTTTGGCTGTTGTGCGTTGCTGTACTAGTGGGCATGATTGTTCATAACAGACGGTTAAAATTGATGTTAGGTTATTCACATGTGTGTCTATTTCCATTGGATTTTTGTAATCCGCTGGCAAGTGGAGACACTTCAGACTGGCCGTGATTAGTGAAGAGAATTTCTTGCGGTCAGTCTTACGTGGAATGCGTCGGGGCTCTGGTGGTTTATTGTTTATATGAAGATAGAACCTAATCCATCTGTGATCCGAGCAAGATGCTTCGTCGGATACATGCCAGTCAGTGATGAATTCAGCAATCCTCTCACTGGTTAGGGTAAGGTCGATTATTGTCTGGGCTCTTGATGTAACAAAGGTAGGTTCAGAGCCTCTGTTGATAATTTTTAAGTTTGTTGAGAAAAGGTAGCTAGAAAACTCCTCACCTCTGGTATTGGTGTCGTGGCTGCCCCAAAGTGTGTGATGTGCGTTGGAGTCAGCGGCGATGATAAGCTCCAGTCCCTCTTGCTCACAGTGTGTCACCAGCCTTTCGAACTCCGGTAAGGGGATTTCGGCGTCGCCCGGACAGTAGGCAGACGCTATAATCACCTCGGGGAGGCTAGGTGTATCACTGAGGAGCCTGATAGCAGTCAGGTCCCTGGAACAGAACTCGGTAATTAAAACGGTTTTCACATGTTTTGGAGCAAAGATGCATGTACGTGGTTTACTTACGGTAGTGTCTAGGAGTAGTTTGCCTCCAATGTTGGATAGACCACAGATCCTCTCACCCCTGATCCACGGCTCTTGGATGAGGGCTATGGTCTTGGTGTTTGTCTCCAACACTCGCCGAAGGTTTGCCGTGGCTGTCTGGCTGTGTTGGAGATTGGACTGTATGATGTTAAAGAGAGGGGCTGGGTTGTTGATCGTCATCGTGACTGATCGAACTACCCGCTCTCGCTTCCTCTTCCGTCGCCTTTTCACCCTCTAGCCACCAGTCCATACGTTCAGCACCCTCCTCTTCCATGCTGGATTGACGGGCCGGTGATGGGTTGAAGGCCGATGTTGTCGGTGTCAAGGCCGATGTTTTGTTGGCCATACTCACGCCTTGTCCTACGTTGGCCTCCCTCGGTAGGTTCGGTATGGTGGCCGGTGGTGTCTTCTCCGTGGACGGTCGATCGGCTGCCCCCGACGAGAAGCGGACGTAGATAGACCCGAGCTTATAAGCAACGCGTCTATCCCTCGCGAGAAGTTTCGCCACATCATCCTGGGGTATACCCACCAGGATGAACAGCTCCTCCTTCTCCTCCGTCTTCACCGCGTGGTACAGCGCCCATTGATTAATATTGTACCACGGATTCTGGGCGGCCAGCCTCATCCTCAATTGGTCGAGGTTTTCGCCCTTGTACCGTGGCACAATAATGGAGGCCTTCACCCTCTTCGGAATCTCCGATTGACGTTTTACCGTCAATACGGTTCCCGAGATGGGAGACCTGATCTTATTTATTGTTTGGCGCAACCATTCTAGCGAATAGTCGTCCTCGCACCAAAGTTTGAGGACGCCCTCCGACCAGAAGGCTTTGCCACGGAATGCCGGTGAGCGGGATGACATCGTGGACGGTCCATAGATTTGTTCATCCAGAGCCCCCTCGATGTCTTCCTCGATTTTAGAGGCCTGTACCTCAGTCAGGTCCTGAAATGGTTCTGCCATTACTGCGACGCAGAGGTCATTGACCTTCAATGCGTCCGCGTAATTTACAGCTGAACCCTTCGGACCTGTCTTTGGCCTCTTGGTATCCCCTCTGGGCGATATAGTGTCATCGGGACGTCCTCTCTTCGAGGGTATCGAATGGGACTTCTTTGGCCGGTTGTTCCGCGCTTGTCCCGATCGTTTGCCGCGCGGTCGCAACAAATCGTCGTCTTGCTGCTCGTCGTCCGGATTCTTGGGTGCCTTTTCGGCAGGTTTCTCACCAGTTGGCCGGCTGGCGCCAGCCGTACCGGTGGGCTCCTTGCTTACACGGGCGGCGTGAGTCGCAGCGGACTCTTCAGCAGCCTCTGGCTGCTTACTACCCCCAGTCTCCAGCGCGCGCATCTGCCTCGCAATAAAGCGCGCTTTCGCGCGTCGTCTGTTGCGGAGTACGTTGGCCGGTGTTGCATCGGTCAACGACTTCTTCGGCGGTGGCAACGGTTTCTTGGGTGGTTTCACGGACGGTTTGTCAGTGACCTTTCTACTCCGGACCTCCACGCTCCAGGACGCAGTCCCCTTCGGGGTAGTATCCGGGATTGCGGCACCGATAGCTGATAGGTCCATGACTTCCCGTGTCGTGACGGTGTTGGTACGTGGCGCATCCGAAGACGCGGCCGTGTGCGTGTGGGTAGCCTGCGCTTCCAAAGCAGCGGGCTTCGGCGCATCCGAAGACGCAGCCGTGTGTGGTTGCTTAGCCTGCGCATCCGAGGACGCAGCGGGCTTGTTGGTGTTGTTCAAGGATTTGTTTTGTTTTAAATGTTCCATGAGTGTTAGTGTTAAGTTTCGTTCCCAGCGGCTTTCCACCCTCCTCGGAGCCCGCAAAGTGGGGACGCTGCACACCATTGTGTGTACATGCGCCAGAAATACCCCGGGAATATAGGACTCCAGCCCCGTGGGTTTACGTCCGGTAACCAGTTTTGGGTTGCCACGCTTTCGCATGGGTCCGCAACCGGGCCAAACGCTCCCGCCAGTTCAGAGTCCTCGCCTGACTTGGATGTTAGTAAGTCGAGCCGATTGACCCCAGTTGGCTACTCTGAGGCCTCCCGTTTAGGCTGAAATCAGGGCCAAAGAGGCGTGTTGCTGTGGTGGTCACCAACAGCTCAACCTCCAGGATCCCTTCATCCCTCCGCACGGGTCTCCACGCACGGCAAACACGCGGGTGGTCAAATTCAACCTGCCATCCTGGTTTTTTGGATGACTGGCCCATGTCGGCGTGACCACGTCGTCGATTATGGCGGATTACGATAAGGATGCATAGGAATGGGATGGGTGAGGAGTTCTATGGGAGATGCGTCAGGTAGTTTCGGTTGCACTCTTCAACAAAAGGCTGAACAATGCGTAACAGGTGGCAACCGCGGGAAGGATATATACCTGGCTTGCCTTAGGGATCTACACGACTGTAGCGCTCTCCCCTAAGGCCATTCGCCTAATCACACATCGGTCAGGTGTGTGAAAAAGGGGCGTGCTTAGACCAACCCTGCTTAAAGGAAACTTTACTGGTACTAAGCCCACCCCCACCCAAGGGACATTATATCTTTACGCACTGTCTGCGTCTTACGTCTTTTCTGTTTGTCCCGCGCCTCAGATATGCGGTCGTGCGACCACCGAAGTGATCTCTTTCATTTTCTCTATCGAAATCGATAATCGAATCGACAAAGTTTTACAGACAACACTACGCGCTTAACGTGCGAAAGGGACGCACTCGTCCCGCTCACTGGTTTTACTAGAGTTATCTCCCAACTTAGTTAGCGCGCCGTTTCTTAACACGGCGCATGCGCAGCCAGTGTGCGAATTCGGCTTTTATCTTTGACCTTCATTTTGGAAACGTAAACAAAACTTTTTACAGTGCCCGAAGTGCTTTTTTGTACGCAACTGGATGTCTATGGTGCGATTGTGTTGGCGGTGAGTTTCAAATCTTTTTTTTTTAACAATTATTTTTGTTTTTGTCAAAAGTTTATGCTAATGATTAGAAAGCAAAAATTGAGCTACGATACTAAAAAAAATCTTGACTCTTAAACGATATTGATTTTCCCCAATTTATTGTAAGTAATACTTTTTACTATTAATTTTAACATACTTATAATAACGAATTATTATTATTATTAATGATACTTAAATTGAATTAATATGAGATAAGAAGTTCTAAATATCTACAGAACTAGAATCTATGTAAAATTTGAGGGACATACAAATGGAAACCGCGCCATAACTCAACTAACACACTAACCCAATTCGCTTAAAGCCTACAAATGACCGGCCCAGCCTTCCCGCGGTTACTCGGTTATGCAAGACAGGTACTAACTGGGTCAGGACATGTGGTTTACTTTGATGATGCATCCAGTCTGTAAGCGAAGAAAGCATCAAATGTTTAGAAAAGAAGAAACGAGTAAGACACGACATACGATTTACGATGACACAAGAACGAGTTTGATAGTGAAGGTGTCGATAAATTGAAAAAATATCACCCGTTTGGTTTTCATCACCACTTAACATCTGGTGGGGTAGTTTTTTTTTTTATTTATTTATTTATTTGTGGTACATAGGTAATACATGGTTATTATGCTTAAATAAACAGTCCAACTACGACCAGTCATCAGGCATACAAATATAGAATTAATAAAGGTAAAATATTAAAATTAAATTACAATTCAAAATAAAATGTCATCATAATAATGATTGTTAGTAATCTTAATTAAACTTCTTTTCATTTATTTAATCCTTATCCATCAGATACACATTATTATACTACATAAAATAAAAAATAACAATTACAATAATTTTTAATTCAAAAGTCATATTTATATATTACTCGATTAAGTCCTTATGCATCAGATATTCATTTATACATTATAAAGTTTTATTAAGAAGAAGATGAGTCATTTGTCTACCCGGCTATTTATGTAAAAAAGAGTGAAATGCAGATATTGCAAGAGGTATAATTCTTCACTCTTTTACCTGACTCTGTATCAATGTACAAGATGACATCGAATACGAAATAAGTTAGATCAGACCGATGAGAAAGATTCCCGGACACTACCGGGTTGGGGATGATGTTTGCGCATGTAACGCGCTATATATAACGTACAGTATTAAAAATGGTATCCGCGGTATGGTAATGGAGGAGCTCGATGGCGCAGGTAGTTAGCGCGTTCGGCTAATCGTTGAAATTAAGCAACTTTCGCAGTGGTCGGTCATTGGATGGGTGACCCAAAATCTCCGTGCTTCGGTAGGCATGTTAAGCCGTTGGTTCCGGCTGAATCTGCAGTCGTTAGCACCCGCCAATCCCGTTAATTAGGCCCGTGTGGTGGGTCATGGGCCAATCTCCCCAATCCATCCATAGGGAAGGCCTGTGCCCCAGCAGTGGGGACATTAATAGGCTGATGATAAATTAAGTCAAAAAGGCAGCAAGATCTTTTTCCTACTTGAAAGATCCAAACGGATCTAATTACTGTCACTTGATGATGATTATTGACATACAGAATATACGAATATTATTGCCAGAATCCCAATATATACACCATTAGGAAAGTTACTATTTGAATATCTCAAACTAGATGTCTGTAAGCACAGACACCTAGTATAAGAGCTTGCGCAGACGAGGGACTTTCGTTCGCGGTATTTTCTGTCCGCGAAAACAGATCGCTTACAATTGAATCGAATAACGCATACGAGGTACTAAAAATCCTGCGAACATAAAGTCCCCTGAACAACCGAGGACACTGAGGGACCGGACAAGACAAAAAAGGCGGATGTTCCCGAAAGAATAGAACTCATGTGACAAGGCGCAGTTGCACACGACGAACTTTAGTCCGTTTTCATACTTCATCCGATTTAAAAAAATGGACCCACTCTTCCTAAACACGTGTCTCGTTTTCTTAAATTCATGTTAATTAGAAGACGTAATCTGAGAATATTAACTTCTACAGCGTGCTCTTTTCTAAATTTTTAGGGGACAGATGTTCTTACATCCGTGTACGTTGAGTCCCTAACAAGTCATGGACATTTTCTGCACGATTCAAGGATTTTTGTCCTCCGCGCACAAAAGTCTTTGGTCTACGCAGGACAGAAGACATGTAATCCATTTTTTAATCAATTCTTCTGATTTTCCATTCGTCACTGGAAACTTAAAAATCTAGAGTAGACGAAAGAAAGGTTGTGTCTGTTTCATAATTGACTTAGTTCACACTATGTTAATGTAAAGCTTTCGCTACAACACTGCGTATACAATGAAGAAGAGGTCAAACTTACTTAAATAATAACTATATAACTTAATCTACAAAAAATCTGGCTGACGCTCTCAATCTCGACTCGATAACTTTATCCCATGAAATTTTTCGGGTCACAGAAGCATAATAAATAGAGTTGTACGAAAAAATAAGATAACAAAATCTTAAGTATATCCAAGCTGTGCTAAGAATGTAAAAGGGGTGGCTATGATAATTTGCGATGCATTTTTATAATCAGGTATTTCGTAGTATTTAATGACTCCTGTATATACAAAACTTTGGGGCTAGTCATAAAAAAGACATGAATTATTCAGGAATTTGTTTCGATTTGTGATCCGGAACTGACTAGAAACCTAAAACTTATGAAACGTTGTCCATGTCATGCTACATACCATAATCACATGACATATTATCAAAGAAAACGGGAAAATGAATCATTTTATTGAACTTTCACGTTTACAATATACAGAAAAGCAAGATTATGTACTGAAGCTAATAAAACTAATTATCAAAAGTCTAACTTTTAATCGTAATTGGATGACAGGAAAATGTTACAAATACTTAGAAGATAAAAATTTTCAAGCTACAGACAAGACATAAAAATAACACACAAAGAAATAGATAAGCATCAACTATCAGAGCAAAAAGTATTTATTCCACCCAATAAACACCTCAGTTTCATGCTAAACACAGTTTTAAAACTGTTTCTATCCATGTTAACTGAACATCGTTATGGATATAATTTCAAGTTTAATCAACAGTAGTTACGGATTTTAGAATTTTAAAGAAGAAGAAAAAAACCCTCGTTTCTAAGCACGTAACAATTAAAGCAATGATGAAAAACGAACATTGTATGTATGTGCAAGATTGCCTGACGAAGATCTTTCAATGAAAATTGAAGTACCTAGAGTCGAACTTAGATGATTTATTGATCTTGGAAGAGAGGGAAAAAAAGATCGGTGTGCCGTTTATAGAGACACATGCAAATGATAGATGGGCAAAATATATTCATTCGCTTCTTGTCAATTCTGGGAAAAAAGTAGATTTACGAAATGTACTTAAGAATATATTATGGTAATCTAAACTATCGATCCATGTTATAAAATCAAGGTGTAACTTTAATTTTAAAATAGAATGTGTCTTCATTTCTGAACATTGTAGACATTTATTTTAACTGAAAAATGGAGTACAACCAAAATAACAAGGTAAATTTAAAAACAAAAACCTGCATTTCGAAGTTCTCTTTGGCGCCTCATTATCTAGTGTTAGTAACACTCGACGACACATCATGACGAATCAAATGACATCTCGTATATAAAAATCGGTCAAGGAGTTTAGGTTTTAAGGCGTGCCAAAAAATGGGCATACATACAAACGCTCGAAAAACAGTCGGGTAAAAAGATTACTAATTGATGGGCATACCTTATGAAATCAAAAAAAACTTTCTTTTGAAGGTACGTGTTACATTCGCATACGCATACGTGAGACTCTGTAACTATTTGTCGTCTCATCTTTTAAGTTTCATTTCGATCTCTAGGGAATATAGTATTTATTACTGAATAATTTTCTCCCATTTCAAGACCTTACCCTAAAGTTAAAGGCAAAGTCAAAAATGTGTGGTAGTGTGTCAGTTTCCGTCGAGAACCAAAATATAGTATCTCTTTTGCTTAAATTAAGATCAAGGGGTTTGCAATAAAGTCTCGAGTTAACAATATTAAATAAATAAAATATCGTGGTCTCGAGCCGATCCGAAAGATCCTTTTAATACTATAAATATGATATGAAAGCGCTTTCACTTTGTTATTTTAAAATAAAAGCTTCATTTGCGACCCAATCCGTCGTACATAACACACATTTTGTTATTAAGCATTAAAAATAGCACAATATCTAATCTACAAATCTTATAATATCTAGATATATAATTTAGAAATAAATTAAATTTAACTACTGAACATCACTTCGTTACTTTAATTTAGATTTTTTTACAGCTGATATCCGAACTCAACTGAACCGCCACTTAACATATACTCAACTTAACTTAACTTATAGCCTACTGAACTATAAAACAAAATACTTGAATCATACTTAACTATAACCTGAAATGTTATCACATTGATAAATTGCGTACCTACACATAACAAACACATTTAAATGAAGTGCTATATTTAATAACAGTATATTTGTTGTCATGTGTGTATCACGCCAAATATTGTAATCAAAATTCAGTTATTACTCTGCCAATTTAAAAAGTCTTTATGATAATGTAATATGATACTTACTGATCAGCCAGACGTAGACACGGCAGCATACAAAAAAGGATACAAGCTATTTAGCGCACTTTCACTGGGACCGGATTATAATGACGTCAACGGAAGGACAGAAGGTGGCATAGTGAAAATATTATAAGTATATCGTCTACGTTTAACCTTTAGGTTAGAAGAAGTTACACGCTATTTAAAACCATGTTAATATTTTGATCCTTTTCTTCCACTTATTCTTCAATTCGTATTTAACGCTCATCTAACTTTGTGAGGTGAAGGCTATTAGACTTTATCACACAGACGGTAAGAGCGATGCAAAGTTTTTATTTTGTAATGTACAAAATCCTTCAGTCCCTTGACTTATAGTCTCAATGAAATGCGACAGCGCATCAATAAAGTTTGACTCACTTCGATT